GTGACTACTCTCTTGCTTACAGGTTTTACCATGTTACAACATTGGTGTAAGCGGTAATGAGAACGATGGTTAAAATGTATGAATAATGACTATTTCCTAAAATTAACATTATTATTAATATTATTATTTTATGACACCCCTCACAGATCATTCATACCAATGCACTCTTGTGTAATGCCTGTTTTCAAAGTGACTTGCATCAATCTTCCTCTTTTATTTTATTGATGTGGCAGTGTGCCATTGATCCCCCCTTTCCCCGAAAGAACATGTATTAGGTTGTCCATTGCAGAAAACAAATCATACTTTTCACTGAACCTGGACTTTATCACTCCTCACTCTAATGTGTATGAAAAATATTGCCTCAAACCAATAATTCATCAGCTGCTGAGAACACTGCCCCATTTCGTCGAAACTATTGAGTTTATAGCATCAAATAAGAACAATCTGGGAGACAGAGATATTCTGTAAATTGGTAAGCTCACCTGCATCTGTCGTACACTGATCCGCAAATCAGATTCGTTAAATTCGTACGGCACATTCCAACCCAACGGGCCGAATTTGCGTCGCTCTTGGACCAGACCATGGAAGAAGCACAGACCGAATAGCATCTTGTGCCAAATTGGACCCTGATTAAAACATAAGTGGAAAAGAATAGTTATAATCCAATGAAAAAAAAAGTGGACTTAGTTTGTTTTTCCTTTTTTTCCTTTTTCACTGTCTTCCACTCATGATATTATGTCAGATGATTGAAGCAGTGCATCAATACTGGAGTGCACACAAAACCACTAAACTCTGGACTAAAATTGGTGAAATTCTGAATTGCCTGATGAACGGATCGGTCAGGCTATTGACCAGCTCCGATGGTAAAAGGTACCGTATCACAGAATGAACAGCAGGAAGGAAAAAGTCACAAAAAATCAATTTATCGTCGTTCGTTTAACTGGCTTCTTGGAATCATATAGAAGCTCATTCAAAGCATAATCGAAAACATTTGGTGAACCAATCAATTAAACAGTAACGTCATACAAAAGACACCAATCCCATTAAAAATGCTAGAGATCTACCCGAAAAATATTGTTATAATGTAACGTGCGTTTTAGTTGCAATAGAGATATTCTGTGAAAGCCAATAAGGGCGCTGAGCAGCTGGTTCGTCGTTAATGGGACTCTTGAGTGATATGTACTATCTTTTTGCCCCTACCTCTCTACCCGGGAATCAAACCACGGAATTAGGGTTACCTCTGAACGAGTGATTGTGATAAATGGCGTTGCTGGGCTGGGTTTATGCATACTGATGATGAGTATCAAAAAGGGCTAGTTGGCTACGCACAGCAACTGCATCGGAAAATGCATTTCACCAGTGGTGAGTGAATGAACTCCCAAGGAGCGAAACCCACAACCCCTGAAAAATAACAAATGACCTCATTCAAAAGTAGCATTGTAAATAAATTGAGTTTTGGTTGAAATTGTTACTTGTGACTAACAAAAATATCAGTGTGTTTTGATGTCGAGAATCGTTTTCATTGTTATTCAACCTGATCTATTCACAAGAAATACATGAGAATGAGTGCACTTGAAGCTTCAGTTGTGGCTCATTACTTTGTTTATGTGTGCGATTGTTATGGCAATAGAATTTAATACAGTTAACTCAATTTTATTACAGTTTATTGTGGTGTAAAACCAAGAAGATATTTCTTCTGAAACCAGTTGCACACCTTGTCTGGTATATTTGTGTTTGTGTGTGTGTATATGTGTTAACCACCAACTTGCGAACAAGCCTGGTGCCAAAGTGAGAAGATCCGGACACCGAAAAGGAACAATGTGGGAAAAAGAAACAATTACAGAAAATGAAAAGAGCAAGAACAAAAGTAGGTTCTGTTGTTTGTTTTATCATGCACTTTTTGATAATTTTTGTGTATTTTTTTACGAGGCACAGAATTTTAACAGGCAGATTGTACAGCACATGCACCAACGATTTCTATTCTGAGCCACATTTATCAGCGTCTCGAACTAAAAACAGTCTTCATTCCTTGGGCCCCAACTTGTAAGGCGGGCAACACCAACCAAAGCCACCGCTGGAGCTAACGTCTTCGTAACCAAATCGGGCTGACCGCCGCGGCGTTTCTTCCAGCCTTACTCAGAACATGGAAAGTAATCACGAAAAGGCGGAAAATCAGTAGGTAGGAACAAAACTCGGCCAAGCCACCGAAGTTGGTGCAGATATGTTTCTTCTTTAAGGGACTATGAGCAGCTTACAAGACGGCGAATCATGTCATTGCTCACCTGGTGTTTCCATACACGAGCGATGCTTTGAAGACATCGATGGTCGAATACAGAAATACTATTAGCGTCCTCCTCTCGAAGGGACCATGTCTGGTAACCGTAAAGCAAACCACGGCGATATAAGCCCTTCCCGTAAGGGAGACCTGAATGTCATGGTGGTGGTACATCAGTAGCAGGTTAGCAAAAGCTGATCTAGCTTTTGCTATTCATGACGTAATCTCTAATTCCTTTCCACCTCCAGCTGCGACCAACTACTTTTAGCTGGTTACTAAAAAGGATGAGTGCGGGTACAGGCTCCTGCCAGTCATGTAAAAGCACTTGGCACCTGGGTGGTGTAAAGCACATACCATATCTGGATACATCCATC